TTCTAATTTCATTCTTTTACATGTAGCTGTCCAGTTTCCCCAGCACCGCTTATTGAAGAGGCTGTCTTTTCTCCACTGTATATTCTTGCCTCCTTTATCAAAGATAAGGTGACCATATGTGCATGGGTTTATCTCTGGGTTTTCTATCCTGTTCCATTGATCTATATTTCTGTTTTTGTGCCAGTACTGTATAGTTCTTTTCTTAAGATAATGTTTACACAAATTGAAATGCACCAATCTTAACTGTGTCATTTTTAACAAATGGATCCATCAGTGTTAAAGATAATGAACGTTTCCATGATTCACTGCGAACTGTCTTAATTATATTTTCCAGGTTAATTTTAATAATTAGGTGGCAAAATATTGGTCTCCTCTGGACACAACACAGAAAGGTAAACAGTGTAAAAAATCACCATGTCCCATGCTCTTTCTTGCTTATGTATGCTAATTTGAAGTGACCATTTCAAGATTAATTTAGTTATATTATTACCAGTGAGTTGAAATAGTACTTTAACTGATGAAACATTGTAAAGTGTGTTAAACTTAATTTTATTTAGTTAACTTATAACTGTTGCATAGCTGATCAAACTGATTTCCATTTATATGCCACGTGTGTTTGTTTTCCTTTCATTCCATTATAACATTTAAAACATCTTCAAGTTATTAAAAATAAAAGATAAAGACTAAACTTCAAGGATGGATTGAACCTCTTGGAAATCTTTCTAAATTTAGTTATGTGCAAGGAAAAACACAATTATTCAGGGAAAAGACAGAAATGATATATAAGCCAATAACTTATGAAAACCTTTCAACTGATGTGATATATGCAGCAGAAAAGTTTTAAAATATAAACAGTTTGATGCTAAACACATTTGAAATCTGAAATGGTTGGGGAAGATCATTCACTTCAATATATTTGAAAATTTTCCCTTGAGACTTTGTGTTTGACCCATGGATTAGTTAGAAATGTGTTGTTTAGTTTCCAAGTGTTTGAAGATTTTCCTGTTATTTTTCTGTTGATTTTTAGTTTGATTCCATTGTGGTTGGAGAACCCATGCTGTATGATTTCAATGTTTAAAAATTGGTTGAAGTTTGTATTATGGACTTGTTTAAATGGTCTGTCTTCTCTGAGCATTTGAAAAGGATGTGTATTCTGGAGTTCTTGGGTGGGTGTTCTATAAATATGTTGGTTGATGGTATTGAGTTTTCTGTACTCTTGCTGATTTTCTGCCTAGTTGTTCTGTCAGTTGAGATAGGGTTGAGAGAGGGTGTTTAAGTCTCCAACTTTAATTGTGGATCTATTTCTCCTTTCAGTTCTATCAGGTTTTGCTTCACATATTTTTCAACTCTGTTGTTTGGTGTGTACATATTTAGGCTTTCTATGTCTTCTTTTATCATTATATAATGCCCTACTATATCTCCAATGTCATTTTCTTTGCATAATATATTTTTCTATCTTTTTACTTTCAATCTGCCTGTATCATTATATATATTTTCTAATTAATTAATTTTTGGCTGCATTGGGTCTTCATTGCTGCGCATGGGTTTTCTCTAGTTGCGGCGAGTGGGGGCTACTCTTTGTTGTGGTGTGTGGGCTTCTCACTGCAGTGGCTTCTCTTGTTGCAGAGCATGGGCTGTAGGTGAGCAGGTTTCAGTAGTTGTGGCTCATGGGCTCTAGAGCGCAGGTTCAATAGTTGTGGTTCACGGGCTTAGTTGCTCCACAGCCTGTGGGATCTTCCCAGACCAGGGCTCGACCCTGTGTCCCCTGCACTGGCAGGTGGATTCTTAACCACGGTGCCACCAGGGAAGCCCCTGTATCATTATATTTGAAGTGAAGTTTCCTATAGACAGCATATGGTTGGTCATTTTTAAAAACCCATTCTGCCCATCTCTGTTTTAATTGGTGTGTTCAGACCACTTACATTTAATATAATTACTGATATGTTAAAGCTTAAGTCTGCCATTTTATTTTTTATTTGTCTATCTTTTCTTTCTCCATT